AATAAGAATAATGGACAATGATGTAGACCAGTGGTTAGCAAGCTGGTCTTGGTTGATCATTACAGTTGTACTGAGTTATATATTCACTGAGTGCTCCAAATTTATCGACTTGAGCCAAACTAACTGAAGTGGCAGAAAGAAGCCATAACTTTTCCTTTTTTTCTTTATTTTTATTATTGTTCATCCAATACAAGTCCTAAGAGCCACTTAAGATAGAGGCTTATTGAATGAGATTATTCTAAGGGTATGAACAAAGGATGAAGAGTGCATATTATGAGCATATGTAAGATAGATTTCCTTTTCTAGTAATGTTTACTCAATAAGAGGCCCAAGAGCCGCTCATGGTAGAGTGTTACTTAATGAGATTGTCTAAAGAGTATAAACAGATGTTTTAATCCACTAGGATATTGTCCCATGACGACAACAACAAATTTGAGGACAATAGTCCAAGTTTTTTAATGAGTGGTATGAAATATATTGGTTTCGTTTTGATATCTGAATGATCACAAACTTTTGATTGCAGGAAAATTTTTCCGAAAGACTGCTTTAACCCTTAAATGGAAGGAAAAATTGCATGAATGCCTCATCGAAATGGATAAAAAAAAAGAAGAAAAAAAAAAGAAAATTCTATTTTTTTTTTAATGATAGTTTTTATGGTCATTTTCATTTTAATTACAAAAAAATTATAAAATGATATTTTAATTCATTTAGAACAGAAAAATAAAGAAGGAAATAAAAGCTTACGGATGAAACATCAAGAGTCGAAAGAAGATGAGAGTTGCAAGGAACAAAATGGCAGCCTCAATCTTCCCCTAAAATCTGATTATCTTACCTGAAAGAGGTGAGATAATGAGAAAGTGTTAAGAACGCAGATGATTCAGATTCCATTCAGAAAATTAATGAGGAGGATAAATAAGCAGATGACAATGAGTCAGGTAGGGGAGAATGTTAATTATGAGTCATATGGAGATAAAAATAATGGCCATCTTGTTCTTGATACTGATAATCACTCTATATAACGCATGCTAAATTTTGTCAGATTTTGTTCTACATTGTATGTAACAAACTGGACCAATAACATGTACAGCTTGACTGGCAAGTAAACATGATGTAAAATTATTTTTAAATTGTTTATCTCCCCCTTCTGTATCATAGACATACTGAAGCAGGAGTTAAAGAAATAGTCAGGAACCTTTTTAATAAGTTTGTGTGAATAATAGAACAGAGATAAATTGTAAGAGGTAAACAATTTATGTATCATATCCCTTCACAACGTGGGAGATCATAGCTCTCCACAATTTCCTATCAGTAAAGAAATTATTTAGAGCAAAAAAGACAGTTGTGGAAAACCATGAAAGGAGTAAGAATATAAAAGAAGACTAAATACCAAACAGTTTACACTGAATTTTATTATAAATAGGAATTATTCTTATGCACTAATTTATCAGGACAGATATGTAGGTAGCGTAATATTTATTGACAGTTAAAAATGGAAGGTAATTCCCTTTACAAAAATTAATCTACCTTTTCCTTACTCCTCAACATCCAGCTGTAGGTGAAATAATAGAATGGAGCGGGATAACAGTGTAGAGACAACGAGAGATGTGTGACACCATTTAAGGGCACGAAAAGAAAAAAAGAAAAAAAAAGAAAGGAAAAAGAGAAAGGAAAGAAAGGAAAAGAGAGGCAAGACTTAAGCTTAGATGATAAAAGAAGCCACCCACGACCGGGGACATTGACAATGTTATTTTGATAAGTAGCAAATGGTGAAAGGTTTCATTACATTGCAGAAAAATTCTAAATGGATAAGAAAATCGACTATGTTCTGGTGGCGAAATTGTGTTATCGGGGATAGATAACAGCCACTTAATGCTGGCGAACATCTAATTAACAAACCACAGACCGGCTAGCTAAAAACTCTGAGACAATTGACAATGTTATTTTGATAATGGAAAAGATAGTGAAAATTCTGACCACCAGTGTCATAGAACTGTCTGACAAAGAACAGGTGAATATAGAGCTTTGGATAGATAAGAAAAATTAACTGTGTCAGAGGGGGCAAACAATATTGTCGGGAAAGGATTTGATAGGTTGTCTGCTAACGGCACACAAAGCCAACCCTGGGTCACGTCTTGGCCGTTTTGACAAGACATCTATGGGTGTTAGAATTCGGTTGTGATAACAAAACTATGTTATCAGAAATTGGCACCAAGAATGCAAATACGGCTAGAACAATGGAACTGTTTTTTCGAGACGACGGTCGACTGTGTTTTCGCTAGAGACTACCCTGCTTGATAATTGGCATTGATAGATCTCAGGTGACATTGGGGGATGAGAGCTGCGATTAAGGAAAGAAAAGGAAAAGAAAAAGATAATTTTTTTTTTAACAAGATATTTTTTTTTTTCTTCCTAAAACAAAGCCAGCCAGATCACACACACCTGGCTGGATGCTATTGGCCGAATGATAACGGGAGCCAGGCGGAGGTGATCACGTGACGCAAGGAGGGAAGGCGGAGGTGATCACGTGACGCAAGGAGGGAAGGCGGAGGTGATCACGTGACGCAAGGAGGGAAGGCAGAGGTGATCACGTGACGCAAGGAGGGAAGCCGCCGCCGCCGCTGCCCATTTAGAGGATAGGTATGAGAAGTTGCTACGAAGAAGTGGGGAGAACCGTTGACGCCCCTCTGAAGTATGGTGAAAATAAGAGAAGGTGGGAGTAAGAGAAGACTTCCAAAAATGGAAAGGAGTGGAAAATTCCTAACCAAAAATAAAAGAAGTGGATTTAGAATTATCAAGGAACCTCCAACCCTGACAAACCCACCCCAGTTTTGGTCAGCGTCCATATAAGCAAAGTCGCAGCGAGCAAAAATCAGCAGAGTTCAGTTGAGTTCAGTTCAGTTCAGAGGAGTTCAATCCAGAGTGCTCAGTTGAAGCAGGCCTCGCAGCTGACTAAGATTCGCACAACTTCCGAACTCATCTTCAATCCAAGAACAATTTATTTTGAAGAGCGACTTAGATCCATACCACCAAAATAAGTTTTTCGACTATCGCCTGAAGACACACCAAGAACCAATTTCTTAAAGAACAGACAACTTAAGATGTTAAAACTCACCTAAAAAAACAACGTGTCACAATCCATATAGCGGGTCGGGAGATAGACGCAGTCCTATGTATCCAGCAACCAGATATAAAGTATTGTTATCCTTTTTTTGATACCTTGAACTTTTGAGTTATCATTTTATTTTCTTTTATGCATATTTGTGTGGTACCACCCTCGTTTGAACTCAATTTGCATTACGGCCCCAACGACTGATTGATTTCGTCTGCCTAAGATCAATTCACAACGTGGGTAGGCGGACTGGAGATCAACGCAGTTACTTTGGTAACCAGACGTTGGAAGCGAGTTGGGAATGACGAGGCTGATATCGAATCTAACCAGATTCCCATCCGAATCACCAAACGGTTAGAACGTCACATTTGGGTGCCGCGACCAATACCAAGCCAGTTGGTCGTCACAGGACGGGACAACACGACTGACGCAAACAGGCGGACGTCACGTTTGGAGCGGACGACACCCGAACGAAGCAGCGAGGGGCGGAGAAGGCTGTGTTGAGGGACGTCACAGATGGTAAAGTGACAAATATTACTTTGAGCAACAAAAGAGAGGATGTTGTGGAGAGGCATGAAAAGATTTCGGATATAAAAGAAATTTATACTTACAATAAGAGACAGTTAAAATATCTTAGAATAGCAAATAGCAAATAGCAAAAGATGCCTTCCAAGAGCTAAGCAAAGTATTAAGAATTCCGTTAGAAAGGAAGAAGAGAGTACTGAACTCCTGTGTGATAATCAATTCTTCTATATAACCATGAATGTTGGACAATTTCTTAACAGATTAAGAGGAGATTTAAAACAACAGAGATCTGGTTCTGCAGAAAGATAGTCGTGAAGAATAAGATGGACAGAGAATATGAACAATTAGGAAGTTTTAAGGATAATGAAAACAGAAAGGATGCTTATACTCAGAATCAGAAAGAAACTGTTGAAATTTTTGGTACACATAATGAGGAAAGAGAGTTTGGAGAATTCAACACTGACGGGGCATATTGATTATAAGAAGAGACACATTGAGTAATCTAATAAATGAGGTTGTGTAAATGGATGGTTGAATAGGGAGCAGGGTTTATTTGATTGATTTTTTTTTTTTTTTTTAGCATTTCACCCCAAGTAAGGTGGGAGTGCCACTAGCACACAAGGGGTTACAGAGGGTTGAGAACAAGTAAAAAGGCGTGTTTGAGGAAAGGATAAAGAGAAGGACGGGGAACAAGATCAAGGCATCAGAAGATGTTGATTGACATTACATTTGAATATTATAGCTATCAGGGAAGAAAGTAAGAGGAAGGGAGTTCCACAGATGGGAAGTGGGAGATAAGAAGCTGTTGGAATAGAAGAGACAGCTACATGTAACTGTTTTGATAGTGAAAGGGTGGGACCAAGATGCCAACCTAGTAGCTTGCTTAAATTCATGCAGTCTGGGAACTAGCAAAAGTAGCTCGTTGGAGCATTGCCATGAAAATATTTGTAGAAAAGACAGGAGGAACCAATGGCACACCTGTGAGAAAGTAACTGTAGACAAGATGCCAGATCAGGACCCATCTTATTGCATATCTCTAGATTTAATTGGTTCATTTTCTACAGTTTATAAATCCTTAATTAACCAAGATTGATTGATTGATTTGTTTCTTACAGTTTATCAACCCTTTGCACGTTTGTTTTTTTATATTTTTACATTGTAAGAATTTTTTTTTTATATAAAAATAATGATTTATTAATACAAGTCTTACTAATTAACCCATAATTGTGAGGAGGAGAGGTGGATTCATGCCTTTACCAAGGGTATTTGTGCATAAGTAAATATAACAAAACCAACTGGAATTAGAACTCAGCTCTCCAATTTACAATTCCAAGCCATTATTCATTGCACCACCTGCACATCCAAGCTTACAGCACCTGTTATTCCCAAGTGGTCACCCATCTAGGTACTGACTATGCTCAATGGATATTGCATAGCTTTGGTGATAATATGGGAACCAGTGTTTCAATCTGATATGGACAACCAGGCAGCTGGATAGGGAATAGGAAAGAGAGTGAGAGAGAGTAAAGAGATAAACATTACATAGAGCGACAAAGAATAGGAAGCTGTGGAGAGCCATGACTGCTCATGTACTGAATCAACATAAAAGCACATAAACAAAGTAACACTTCTTTACCATATATGCTATAAAACTGAGAGAGCCAATATTCTATTAAAATAAACACTCCTTTTATGCCATTTACACTGGGTTTTTTTATAGAGTTAAATATAAAATAAAACAATTATAAGAAAAAGACGAATCCTCTGAAGGCAAAGCTTTCAAAAGATACAAATGTAATTAAGCCACGGAGGACACGAATAACGTCATGAAACGGAAGTGTGTGAATGGGGATGTCAGAATCAATAATAAATAAAGTAACAGTGATTAAGGGTGTTAATGTGGACAATGCTTTCAGATCCACCAGGACATTTTTTTTTTTTAATCATTTCGCCCCAAGCAAGGCAATAAAGCCACTAAGACACAAGTAGTTCGTAAATGTTAATGAATAATAAAAAGAAAAAAAATTAAGGAGCAAGAGAAATAAAAGAAGAGTAATCATGACGACAGTAAATAATGATTGACATTTCATTTAAATTTTCGAAGATCAAAGTTGGTTGGGAAACAAAGTCGGAAGAGAGTTCTGTAAAAGAGAAGTGCAAGCAAAGAAACTGTTAGCACAAAATTTAGTTACCTCTGCCCAATCCAACTTTAAAATGATAAGACCTTGTTGTAAATCGACTCAGTCAGATATGTGCCATCCATTATACATGCTTAGGCGATCATGTATCTTTTGATACATGACTGACAAGGCAGATTTTTTTCTACAGTAGGTTGCCATTTCTTTCTGGCAGTTGCTATCCAAGGCTACAGAATCCACTCTGTACTGCTATTTACCCATAGCTGGGAGGGAGAAGAACAGGATTCATACCTTTCCCGAGGGTATTAGCATGTAAGTGAATATAATGGATTAGACTGGAATTCAAACTCAGCTCTCAGATTCCTCAATCCTAGCCACTATCCTTTACTCCACTATTCATAAATTCTTTATATCTGTACCCTAAAGGAAACACCACTATTTCCATGGCAAATAGGGCCAAAGATCTTGTGGTTTCTATAACAAGCCAGTTTTTTTAAGCGAGTAGGTTGTTAGCCTACTGCACAACCCCCCAATCTGGAGGATCAGGTTCTGAATTCAGAGTTGTCCTTCTCTTAAACCAGTTGTCATCCAAGGCTATAGAACCTGGTCTGTCCTGCTATTTACCCATAACTAGGGGGAGAAGAAGATGATTCATACCTTTCCCAAGGTTATTATCACTAAGTGAATGTAATGGATTTGATTGGGATTCAAATTTGGCTCTTAAATTCATAAATGTATAGTATCATGTATATGTATATATATATATATATATATATATATATATATATATATATGTGTGTGTGTGTGTATATATATATATATATATATATATATATATATATATATAATAATGGACACTCCTGTCAGTTTCAACGTATGAGGATCTGACAACTTAATTGATTCATTAATGAAATTTTGTGTGATAATCTTAAGTGGCACTTAAGACCTGCTAGTGATTTACAAATGAGACCGCAAATGGAGCAAGAGTGAGGATTGTGAGATGAGATCACTGTTAGATTGGCTGACCTTTTAGATCTTGCACTCATTTCTTGAAGATGATTCAGAGAAGCTGATTGAAAACTGCTGAGTCCACTAAAACACATTGATATATATATATATATATATAATAGCTGGTCACTCACATTCAAGGATACCTGTCTACTAGGGTGGCTAGCCAATCCCTATTGCAGACGCCCACTCAGGCACATTTTCTTTTGTTCAACACCCACAGATCCCACCTGTGGTTTATACTGCAACTATGCTGAGCAAACCTTAGTTACAGTTTCTAGGGGAGAATGTGTTATCTAGCAGGATTAACAATCTGAACCACACCAGCACAGTCAAATCCTCAGCCACATGTATATAAGATTGGGTCCCAAGCCTTGAATAGCAACCTTCCTAGAGATGGTGACACAACAAAACACTTGGTATACTTGGTCTACCAATAAGGGTCTGAATTGGACATCAGAGAAAACCTTGTAAAACCTTGCCTCAAATCATTATGAAAAATCCTTTATCAGACAGGACTCATCTTGCTTTTGTTGAGATTAATACTGGTTCTACATCAACAAAAAATATGGCTATGTAGAGTTAAGTTTGTATGTATGGAGCAGTCAATTTAAGTCACATCTAACTTCCTTATTCAGTAGAATATGACATAGATATATAAACACTCTCAGTTTTTAATACCTGCCCCACCTCCTTATGCCTATAATCAAGTGTCAATTAAAAAGCAAAGATAAACACTGAACTTTTATAGATCATCATACAACGTGATGTTCATATTCTATACAGATTTGGAAGAGAATGAAAACCTGACAAGGTTGAGTTGTTAATCAATCAGGTCACAAAGCAAAAGCATTGATTGATAAATGCCATCGATATTGTTGTCAGGTGATTTTATTGATCCGCTTTGAATAAAAGAGGATTTAGTTCCTCCAATAAATAAATTTATGTTTTTTTTTAGTTTTTTTTTTTTTTTTTTTTAAGAGTAGAAATCTGTCCCATAAAAAGTACAACAATTCCTGGAACGAAGATAACATCAGGTTATATGTTTGCAACAGCTTATATAAGAACATTATCTTTCAATTGATTCTTTTGGTGATGAGCCCAAAGGGTGTAGGAAAACTCCACACTGACGACGAAAGACTGAGACAACTCAGCACCAGAAAAATATAACATTTTTTATAACCAAGTAAAAGTGATTTATTACGGATCAAAACCCTTAATTAGTGAATATTTTTACTTCATTGAAGATAAATTTCTTTACGATTTAATTTATTAAAAATAATATTAAAAAATAGTCACTAATTACGGCTTTAATCCTTAATAAATTACTTTTATTCGGTTATAAAACAAGTTATGCTTTTCTGATGCTGTTTTGTCTCAGTCATGAGTTGTCCTGGTGTTTTGTCCTTTCTCAGATCCTAACATCCATTTAAAGATGAGAAATAATCACTAAAAAGTGTTATTACATTTATATAAGCAAAAATGGACTATGGGAAAAACAGTTAAATGTGGAAAAAAAAAAAAAATTTTACATTGATGTTTTATATGAGCTTCTTCAGAACATAACTGAAATAATGTAAGAAAAATTATTACTATGGCGATCCTGCTACATAAAAATGCTATGGTCAATTTAAAAAATTTTAACACTTAATAAAAACTTTGGAAACATATCCATAAACAAATTACAGAGATTTGTACAAATGAAATATGTCAAAATTTAAATTTGGTTATTAGATGTCAGAAAAAAAATAAGCTAGGTCTTCTGCTAGGAAAGTTGGTTCACTGTGTCATGCTAGACAATTTTTCTCCCTTGAATCGATCTTATCGTTGCTGACATATCTGGTCTGGTGCTTCTGCTATATATGCAGAGATTTTTGATAAAATCCAAAGAATCTGCAATATTATTGCTCCTGACATGGCATCTTGGCTTCAGTCATTTTTTCCACCACTGTTATGTAGGTTACCTCTGCCTTCTTTATGAATACTATTTTCTCATGTCTCAATAGTAAGGCTGATTGTTTTAATAAGGTCATATTGGAAGCTGATTTCAAAAATGACCTACAATTTGTTGTTAACTGGTGCAAGGAATGATTTCTTAATTTTAACACCTCCAAAACACAACTTCTCTCTTTTAATCATCTAAAAGACACCTTTCTGCCTTTCATCAGCATGGCTGATGCTAACATTCTCTGCTGACATGAAGTGGAAACATTATATTGAATCAATTGCTAGGTTTGGTTTGGTTTGGTTTATGGCACATCAACCTCAATGGGTCATTTAATGCCGACAACTTTTTTTCCTGGTAATATTTTTTTTTACTCAAAAATGTGTAGCTGGTAATATTATTTTAAAAAATGTATTGCTGGTAATAGTTCTTTTTTTTTTTTTTTTCAAAAAACGTATTTCTGTTAAAATTTTTTTTTTTTCTTCAAAAATTTATTTCTGGTAATAATATTTTTACATAGTATTTCTGGTATTAAAACCTATTTTTACACTTTCATAATGCTTTTTACCTCAGTTTCAGGGTTAACTATCTGCCCATAGCTGGGACCCTAACAGGTGCCACCACCCCAGGTCAGGGTGGACCTGGGAACACCAACAATTAAGAGGTGGTTCCAGGCTCCTCAAAGCCTCCTGATCAGAGACCTTGCCATTGGACGTTGTAGAAGTCAAGTGGCTTACCTGCTAACATGGCTGCCTTCTTGTGTCTTATTGGAAAAGCAAGCCAGCTAATTTTACCTCATTTATAGGAGAGTACCTAATGCACCAATTAGGTTGGTCCATTTTGCTAGAATAGACCTGCCCAACACATTTGCATGAGTGGTCTCTATTCACCCATATATCTCTCCATTAAATGACTCAGGTCAGCTTTTAACTTGTGATTACACCAGTCTACTTGTGTGTCAGACCACTTCCAAGCTAACCAATATTCTACAGGAATAGTTTATCGTCTTACACTGAACACGGATGTAGTTTATCATAATACCCAGGACAGACAATTGCTAGGTCTTCTGCTAGGAAAGTTGGTTTACTGTGTTGTGCAAGACAATTTTTCTTCCTAGAATCTCTTTTACATATTTATAAGTTTACCATTCATCAATACTTTGAATATTACTGCCAAATCTGGTGTGATGCTACTTCTATATATTTAGAGATTCTTGATAAACTCAAAAGGACAATTTGCAATGTTATTCATCCTGGCAGAAATATTCCAGGCATGGATGAATGGTAGGACTTGTAAATATGTAGGATAGATTCAGGCAAGAAAAATTGACACATGGAACAAGAACAATCTACCCTGGTGGACAAAATAAAAGGTTTAGTTTGAAATTTC